GAGGAGAAGAGGACGGGACTTGGTTACGACAATTGGAACATTTCCGTTGCCATCTGTGAAGATATTCCGTAATTTGTTAAATTCAAAAGGAAATACTGTTGCAGGAATGGACATTCGAGTAGGTCTGTTGAGATGAGTTTAAATGTCTGCTTAATGTGTATGTGAAAGTGTGTGAAATTTAAGAAAATATATCTTCTGCTAGGTATCAAAATTTTCTGACTGCTTTTTATTCTTTCTTCGAATCATTGGTATTAGTGCCGTCTTTGTAACTTCTAAATTGTTGTTATTCCTGCGCAAAACTTACTCTACAACCTTATATACAAACTTGGTATGCAGGGAAAGCATGTTATTTACATCTGCTGCTTTGCATGTAGGTGGTTACAAAGCAAATTGTTATAATCTTAAAATATTTCGTTTTCAAATGGAATGAAAAGCTGTGTTTAGAGGTCACATGTTTTTATTTTTTAACTAATGATATTGACGAATATATATATACATGTATATATGCATATAACATACAAAACATAAAACATAAAACATAATATAAATATGCATTTTAAGGATGAATTAAACATTTTCTTTTTAATCAAATATCATAGCAGTGTAAAAGTAAACATTTTCATCACTGAATAGAAATACAAATTTATTGTCATCTGATATACTACAAAATGTGACATTTTTGTGATTAAGTGCATTTCTTAATTACTATAAGCTTTATGTTACCTTTTTTCATTATTTATGTAATTTATAAATTTGAGAATGGAAAAGGGGACTGTGTCAAAGAGACAACAACCCGACCAAAGAGCAGAAAACAGCTCAAAGCCACCAATGGGTCTTCAACACACTGAGAAAATCCCGCACCCGGAGGCGAGCTTCAGCTGGTCACTAAACAAAAATTTGCACAAGTTCAGTGAAAATGGACGTCACACTTAACTCCGAAACATATAAATGAACTAAAATTAGAAAGAAAAAAACATACAAGACTAACAAAGGCCAGAGGCTCCTGATTTGGGACAGGCGCAAAAATGCGGCGATCTTTAACATGTTTTTTGATATCTCAACTCTCCTCTTATACCACTAGCCAATGTAAAATTAAAAAACACACGGCAATACGCACAGTAAACCTCAGCTGAAAAGAAGTCCGAGTCCAATGTCAGAATAGGTAACAGAAGAAACTAAGCAAAATCGCAATTATACATAAATTAACAAAGGACTACTGGCGGTTACTGACATGCCAGCTCCAGACCTCAGTTAAGCATGTGTACGTGTCCTTATTGCAGAGTAAACCTGACCTATAACTCATTTTTCAGTAAAAAAAAATGATATAGGGCTTATAATACGCATTATGTTTTTGTTTTCTGATTTTCAAGATCCACCTGTTGTTCAAGACATGAAAGTCATCTTCAGAACAAACAATACAGCGAGAATTCTGAAATGCAATGCATCAGGTGAACCAGAAAGATATACGTTTAGTGCATGGCAACATCACACATACAATCACGATTGGATTAGAGATCTTAATGGAGATGCCAATGGAAATTTGATATTACCAGATAATCCCACAAGAAAAGATCATTCGTACGAGGACAGTGGTGTATATACGTGTAATGTAACAAATGGCATTTCAGACGAGAGCGACAATTTATGGCAGAGTGGAAAAATCACAGTAATCGTTGAAGGTATTGTAATAAACCCTATTTAAATTTGACAGACATACAGAAATTGAGATATAATATCATTTTGAAGTTAATATGCTATTTTGCACAATTATAATTTCGATCGAAACAACACTGTGAAATATCTATTCAAAAGTATACATGTATAGATCATTAAAAGACTCGCATTTCGACAAATGATGTTTCTTCAATGATACTCGCTTCAAAAATATTAGGAAATCTAAAACCTTCCAAAAAAGCTGAAGAGCTGATATTACCAAAAAGGCCAATAATATGTTTATTTAAACTTATAAATCAATAGTAACGATAATGAATGATAATGATAAATCAGTAACACAAGGATAAAAAGGGGTCTGAATATCAAGTGAGGTGCAAACATTCGCTAGATTCTTAAGAATCTGGCATGTTTTCACTAGATTCGGCTTCCTATGAAAACAAAAGAAAAACAAACCGGCTATTTAATAAAAGCTATTAATGATATTCATTTCAGTAGAAAAGCGCAGTTCGGCACGTGGGATAGTAACTTAAAACGTGGAAAATCAAATGCGTTTGAAATTTTAGCTAACTTCGAATGATATGTCATATATAATAACAAACGGATGCTACAAAGATGATATTCAAAACTCGATGAGAACTGACAACGCCATGGCAAAGAAAAAACGAAAGACGACAAAAAGTTCAAAACGCGCTACCTATAAAGAATGACTGAGACACAGAAACCCCATTTTGATTGGGGTTATCTCCAGTGCTCTTGAGTGTTACGCAGATCTTGCTCCACTAGTGGCACCGCCAGTCTGTCATGTTGCTCATAGCAAGTACACATTGGTTGATGTTACAATCGACGAAAAGATGACGGGATAGTAGTTACAACAATTGGAAAAGAGAAGCAACAGATGCCAGAGGGACATTCCAACTCATAAGTCGAAAATAAACTGACAATGCCATCACTAAAAGAGAAAAAGACCGACAGACAAACAATAGAACACAAAACACACAATAGAAAACTAACGTCTGAGCAACACTAACCCCACAAAAATCTGGGGGTGATCTCAGATGCTCCGGAAGGGTAAGCAGATCCTGCTCCACATGGGCACCAGTCGTGTTGTTCATGTTAGTACACACCAAGTAATAAGTCTTAATTTTGAAGGTCATATTCGTGAAAAGTGGACGGGGTTGTAGTTACGACATTAGGAACATATCCGCTATCATTAGTGAAACGGATATTCCATAATGGTCGACCGACTCGTGATGGCGTTCGTAAAATTTACGAAGGGATGATGTTAACTTCACCACTTGGAATTCTTGGTTTAATAGCTTCCTTGTGAGCAGCCACCCTCTATCAAGGAAATGATGATAGGAAATACAAGCATTGACATTTCGTATCAACTGGAACATATCTGTGGTCATCTGTAGCCCGGATATTCCACAACGGCCAACTAATGCGTGATTGTGTCCGCACTTTCTCTATCACGGAAATCATGATAGAAAACGCAAGATTTTGAATATCATATCAACTGGGAGATTTTATAAATTTTGGAATTATAAAGATACTAAGCTTTCAACTCCCTTAGATGGATTTAGCTTTTTTTAAAGTTCTTTTTGATTATATACATGTAGCTCTTCAATTGTTTCGGTTCTTATAAATCATTGGCTTTCAGCGTTCCTGATGAAGGTAAATCCAGAAAAGCGCTTTATACACATGAAAGTTATATAACGTGTTGCTTTCATCTTTTATTTACTCCATATGCATACGGTGCTGGAATGTTGCTACGGGAAGCTGAAAAAAACACTTTTTTGTAAAGTTTGGTCCTTGACTCACCTTCATTGTAAATTACTAGATATACTGTCAATATATGAGGCAGACTTATCTGTTTCTGTTGATTTTTTTTTACAAATTTGTAGGGATAGAAGAGTGAAATATAAATATCAATTTTAAGTTATTTAGTGAGATTACACATGTATATGTTTACTGGATCGAGGGAACCATTTGTCAACTTCATAACGGTTGATTTTTCGATTTGACCTAGATAATTACAAAATTGTTACCAAATGTTTATTAGGAGGTAAAAAGGTAATAATTTTCTATCTTATATAAAATTTCTGCCATTAAATTATAGATAAACCAGTATTAGAAAAACCAACGACACGTCTTTTTTATGGAGATATCAATAAAACCTCCACTATTAGTATATTTGTTTTAAGTTCTTCAAACATATCTACGGCAAAGTGGTTTAATGCTAGTAAAGATCTTCTAGCAAACAAGACCTGCGCTTCATCTGAAGCTGAAACAGAGTTCCATGGACAGTTAGTCAATGTATCCGGTTATGAATGCGAGATTCTATTACCGCAAATTATAAATAAAGATTTTCAAACCTATGCAGTTGAAATTTCAAATCAATTTGGGAGAAGTATATTTGAAGTGTCGCTCAAGTCTTCAAGTAAGTTTATTGAAGTCAATATTTTTTTCTGATCTGGACAAAAACATCAATAATTCGTAAAAGATTAAAACGTCAGACATATATGCTGTTAAACTCATTAATGTAAAATATAATTAGATGAGAAAAAGATAACTTGTACATGTATTAAGCAACATGATTTCAAAGAAAACAAATGCTTTATTTTGTTTTGTAAAGCCTGTCGTCTTGGCCTTCGTATATGTACGACATGTTTTTACATTGTTTCCTTATATGAATTTGTATACTTGTATTCCTTATTAAGTAAAATATTGGGGGGGGGGGGTTAATATATTTTTTTAAACTATTTTTATATGTCAATCTAATTAATTGCTATCAATTTATTTTAAGTGTACATACATTGTAGGAGCATTAGATGAACCACCGAACGCTGCAGGTAAAATTCTTTTGATAACATTTCCAAAACTATCCGAACAGGGTATATGTTCGATTTCAAATAAAACGGTGTTTTATAACCTATACTTGGTATATTTTTATATAGAAATTACTCATTCTACAAATGTATTGGGTTTTCAAATGTGCAGGAAATATGAACAGGCTTTTATTATAAAAGGCATTGTTTTATTTCGGAATACGTCTTCATCATGCCCATTAAAGACGCACTAGTAAATTGAACAATTAGAAGCGTCTGAATGGTTAACAAAGATTAAAAGCAATCAAAAAAGAAAACCCGTGCACTCCTCTTGAAGGACATATTATTAGTTCTTTGTGATTTATATATTATATCAATCTGCATGTACAAAATGCAAGACGTATCCCAATCAACATGATCTTATATAGAATTTTTACTAATAACCTAAATTCTTCACGCATAGCTAATTACTCGCAATTTCTATATTTCAGATGATATTAAAGTATCTGGAAGGCGATATATCTTCGGTTTTATTCTTGCAGTTATCATATCTGGCTGTCTTCTTGTTATATGGTGGCGCTTGAAAAAAGGTTTGTTTTGACAAACATAAAGTTTAAGCTCTCTGAAAAGCTGTGGAGTTCTTTGCAGTATCATACTTTGAAGTAAGATGTGGACGATATGGTTGTTTACGTATTAGGAAGATGTAATATATCCCATTTGTGTATATAATTATAAGTGTGGTATTAAACGACGATCTTCAACGGGACCTATGGTGGAATACCGAAATCCGTCCATCCACATGTTCCTCACTACCACTTACAAAATCTCAATATTATTGTTAATAATTCCCACACAAGTTTTAACGATAATGAAGGATGAGTTTATCGACATTGACTGGCTATAAAGCCCTCGCATGGTTGGTAATGTTGACGCAATATCAGGATTGACAGAAAAATTCTTTGGTGATGTCTTTTCAGAGTTACAAGACTTAACCGTTTGATTTGAGAACATGTTTCGCCTACCATGCACTTACTCTTAGACTAATATTCTTTGATTGATTTCCTAAACATTTTACATTCTTTAAGGATTGATAAATTGAAGCCCTTTTGATTTGGATGATTTTCTGGGTCGGCTTTCCAGAGTTGCGAGACTTAAATGTCAGATTAGAGTAAAATGTTTACATATTGTACCATCAATTGCGTATGCTTGAATTCTTTACTGGAAACTTTCCACATTTGTTTGAATAAGTGATAGTAGGATACCGTACAATTTTCTTCTTTTATTCCATATTTTTTGGACTTTGACCGTCAGATCAATAAAAGGCAATAATCTACATGTTATACACTAGATCTAGTATGATGCAAAATATAGCAATGTTAACCAGAAAAAACAAAAGTATTCATTTTTCGAGGGTTTCACACACATCAGTGTCTTTATTTACATGTTTGCTGTGTTGTTGTTCTTTTTGGATGCTCTTTCGTGACCAAGGATTTCTAAATTGTATTATATGATAGTAAAATAAAAGTAACCAGAACTAACTAAACCCATCAGTGAACAGAGAAAGGTGTCTTTTCATACATGATTATTATGACTGATGATATATCATTAAATATCGAACATAGGAAAACGAATCTTGTATACTGTTGATAAATTAAGCAGAGGAAATGCGTAATTAAATACGTCAGCGCTCAACCAACAATGTGCATCCAAAAACAAACATGAAGTAAAAAGTGTCGGTCGGGTCTTGAATACTCATGTTGTAATTTAATACCCTATCTTCCGTTTTTAATAACGTCTCCAGTCCATGACAGGTTCAAAATTCTGAATATCTCATTCTAGCCACAAAAAAAAAAAACAAAAAAAACAAAAAAAAAAAACAATTTTGCAACATCATAACGCAACCAATCTTAACCGGTATTTGTTATGTAATAATTTCAAGATCGCGTGAATATCGAATGAAACTAATAGCTTCTCACCGTGAGGCGAGGCAACAAGTAAACATGTTGTGATGACGATTGTTCAGATCATCGTTACAGTGACTTTAAAGAAATTTCCGTTTTTGGCGATCTATTCCTAATTATCATATGACCGATTTACTCATCGGCATTCCAAAAAAAAAAGGAAGATTCCAACTTTACCGGTGCATCATTTTTCATTTATACTTTTTTTAGCATTATCTATAAATTATGCTGTTAAAACGTTTTCTGCTTTGAAATTTGAAAACTAATTTTACAACATCAGACGTTCTACTTCTTGAATCATGTGTGCAGTCCTGATATTAATGTAGCAGATTCAGTTTTAAAAAGAAGGCAAAAGATACTAAGGGGACCATAAAAAAAAAATCGAAGTCAAATACAACAGGACAACACCGCGGCTAAAATGAATACAACGTAAATACAGACAACAGTATATAATAGATTACACAGAAAACTAAAGACTGATCAACACAGATCCTCACAAAGCCGGTGTGATATCAGGTACTCCGGAAAAGAAAACAAAACTTGTTTTCTTTTGATTCAACTTCTAAAAGTGTTGTCTTTAGTATGCATGAGATACAGGTTATTTCAGAAACACTCAGTTCATTGTCATGTTTTTTGTTTTTGTTTTATTTTTATTATATAATGAAATAGTTCAGTGGCAATTGTCAATGCGTTATATAAAATGTTGTGTCATGATGTTTAGGCACTAAAGTCTTCATTTGTTTTGGCTGATTTTATGATATGTTGGGCTTTGTCATTTTGTTAATAATAAATGAAATTATATTTTCTATAATTCATTTACACGTGAATAGCAGACTGAGTATGGATTCAGAGGTAGCAACCACAGTATCATTAGAGATGCGCCGATCTTAAAAACGCATTAATTATCCTTGCATAAGTTATTAAAAAAGGGAATTTTCTCTTTACGGCTACCTACAATGAATGATTTTATTTAGTTCAGCGTCAAGTATAATGTTAATATATTACCAGCCTGCCAGGCACTAAACTTAGCATGTATACATAATTTTTAAATGCAATGGGGTTTGTTAAATAAAATTAGTTCGCAAACTATCAGTCAGTATATAAGGCTTTTTTATTTTAACTAAATAATGAATTAAGAGTTTAGACTTGGATACTGTTCAATACTCTTACAAATCGCTCTTTTTGCATTCAATCGATTTGTTTTAATCTCAGACCATTAAAACAAACCTTGCCAGCATTGTACATAAAACAATGTAAACACCGTCTTAAACTAATTGCACAAATCATGAATTGAACGTAGCATATAGGGAATAGTTGTCTTTACAGGACCTTTCAAGTGAAATAGTTCTAACTAGAGAGAGACTTTGCTAATCTCATTTATGTGGGGAAATTTTAAGTTTAAATCAAACATTGTGTTACACGTCAAACAATCTGATATAAATATGGATCATGTGTTCAAGCTTATCTGATAATGATCTGACATCACTCCGTTCTACTTTCTGTTCTGGTGTTTATATCATCAGCCAAAGAAATTTCAGCCTTTAAGTATTTTGATGTTGTGTATCATTACAACTAAACCAGAGAATTCTCTAAAACGGAAAATAGAACGATGCGTTATCTTTCCATTGTATGCTCAGCGTTTATACGTGATTTTTCATTTCATTCAGATTGCACGTCAAACTAACTTAAAAGTATAATATTCCTTTAAAATTTGTTTGCATTATTTCAAAAAGCAAAGAAAAAGGAATCACATAGGTAACGTATTTTGATATACTTCAAATTAACAGTATGCAACCCTTGTGATTGAGTCGAAATAATCCGTAAATTAATAACTGCCTACTTTGGAGCATTCAATTTTGGAGAAAAACATTACATTTGATGTACTGTTCTTTAAAAAAATCATTGTTTTGCGCATGTCTCTTCCTAACGTCTTTTTTAATAAATCTTACTGTAACAAAACATGCCTTCAATATACACAACTGTCTTCGCCGGCAAATTTGGATTATTTCTATGTTAAAGTAGAGTTATTCCAAACTGAAGTAATATGTTATGAAAGATAATATGGTGATTTAGATGCAAGTTTTTTTTCCAATATAATCAAGTAGTTCCATGTATAAGCTCATTCATATTAGAATGTACATGATCTGTAATAATGACAAAATCAATTTGAAAATAACACGGCTTTATCATATATTGAAAAATTTATAAAAACATTAAATGTGTTTTCATTTTCTTCACGATAAATGAAATGAGGAGACCGGAAGGTTGTTTTCTTAAAATTATTTTAAAAAGTGTTGCTGTGTTTAATTGTTTACAAAACTTTTGAAATTTTGAAATACTAAGGCTTTTCTACCTCAGGAATAGATTACCTTAGCTGTATTTGGCAAAACTTTTAGGAATTTTGGTCCTCAATGCTTTTCAACTTCGTGCTTTATTTGGCTTTTTAAACTTGTTTGGATTCGAGCGTCACTGATGAGTCTTTTGTAGACGAAACGCGCGTCTTGCGTAAATACAAAATTTAATCCTGGTATCTATGATGAGTTTATTTATATCAAATTTTGATACCAGCAATGTCTCGAACAAGTTCAAAAATCAGCGCCTATCAACATTTTACAAAGGAGTTATGTCCCTTGGAAATAGTAATTATATGGAAAATTGCTTTGGAAGCGCTCTCAAGGCTACATTTCTTGAAGGGTCGTTAAAATAATCCACATCCACGTTAATAAATTTTGAATAGCATATTATACCTATATATCAATTTCATTGAAATCCAATGTTAAAAAGATGTTAGTGAATTTTTGGCAGCTACATATTTAAAAATAGTTGCCGACAGACATTTTACGTGCAAGGAATGAAATTGTAATAGCAAATTATACCTTTATTTCAATTTTCATTGAAATCAAATATCAAAAGGATGTGTTTCGAAACGTCGGTACGGACATGAAAATACGTATATTTTGTTATTAAAATTTGCTGTTACAAAAGTTTGGAAATTGTTTAAAATTTTGGAATATATCTCCCTCATGCAAAGCTATAATTCTTTGCCCGGCTTTAGCTATATTTTTTCCTCTTTTGGTTCAAAAGCTTATTCTTTATTCAGTAAGTTTTGGATATTCAAGTGTTTTGGCATCGAACATCACTGAAAAGACATGTATTGTCGAAATGCGCATCTGGTGCACAAAAGTTCGTACCGTTAATGTATTGTGTTTTTTTAAACTAAAACCTGTGTTGCTAAGAGGAATCTTTACAAGGGGTATAATTTTGAACATCCCATCATATTTGTATATCAATTATTGTTGCAATCCAAGAAGAAAAAGACTTTTTCAAAATTTGTGATTCTTTAACCGAAACTTTTTCTTCGTCATTTGTTTTTCTTCAAATTTTATATTATTAGGAATATGTATTGAATCTATATTTCATTTTTGGTTGAAAACCTAGCACACTGATGTGTCACTACATTGTTGTGATGCTTTAACAAAAACTAAAAAAATTTCTGCCAACTATTCCAATTTTTAAAAAATCTATTGCAACACTACGAATCAATTTGATATAATATACCTATCAATTTTTAATAATTCCTAGCTCATAAAGATGTTTCTTCATTTTATTTTTTTGCCGATTACAAATAGTATTTCTCACTATTTCAGATTTTTAAACATAAGAATATGTTATTTCTAAAAATGAATTGCCAGTTGGCACCAAAGAAATAATATGCGCGTTTACATTTTATGCACGACACCAATCTAAATGTCATACCTTCCCATACTTTTGGAGTTTGCGTGTAGACAAATTGTTGAAGTACAAAGACACAGATAGTGATTATACTATCTCAATACTAGGCCCTAATTACTTTGAAAATATTGAAAAAATGCATGAAATATATTCACCACGGTGACCATAGCATTTCTTGTTATGAAATCGATAATTGTTCCTTCCCTTCTTGACAAAGTTTCTTTTAGCCATACCGTATTTCTATATGTAATAAAAAGCGTCATTGATTTTTCTTAGTATCATTTCCATTCAGTTAAATCCAAAGAAGCATGTGTGTGTAATTGGTGTGTAATTTTGAATCTTCAACTACAATAGGGAAAAACTAAGCAATATAAATCTTTAAAAGACGTACTAGGTTGTAGGGTGTAACACAGACAAGGTTGTCATGCCTTGTGATTGAATGTGAACAAACATGCTTTTTGCGTATGACTTTGTTGTTGTCTCTCAAACCCTTTTTTTCAGAGTTCACTTTTTTATTTAAAGTTTTCTATCGTAAAGTTCTACCATTTTCAACATGGAACATGTTCGATACAACTACAAATATCTATTGTGTCGCCTGACAGAAAGATAATGCGAAATATAGTGACCAATTTGCACACTTCTCACATTGTATACTGACTTAACAAGACGATTACTTACCATGCTGTGCTTATTTTTTATTCGCTCGATTTCAAAAATAAGTATTAAACCAGGATTCAAAATTAGCATATTCCACTGTACAGTGAGAAATCTGCGGTCGACTATCCTTTAAAACAGTTTAATGAATTTCAGTCTTTTATAGCTTGAAATGTTACGTTTGTGTAAGTTCTGCATGAAGACTCCTAAACCTTTGATTTATATATTTAAAAAATGTGTAAAACATTTGCACTAAATTTTCTACTCCTTACTGAATAAAATGTTTAACACTGTTTAATACCTCTCCATTTCTCTATTAAACAAATATATGCACCTTTTTAATAGTTTCTGTACATATATTCACGTTTTCTAGTCTAAGATTAAATACGAAATCAGAAAATAGACAAACTGTATGCAATTTGAACTCTAGGTTATTATTCGATTACACATCACTGTCTACTCTGATTACCGAATCTATCGAAAACACTTGTCTTTTACAAATGAAAGATAGTTTGCATACAGTACAAATGAAAAGGAGATTTGTATGCCTCGATGAAACAACAATCCAACAAACTTTTTATATAGATTAGACCGTTGTATACTTTTTACACATTGTGACTTGGATGAAGAGTTGTATCAATGGCACTCATACCACCTCTTCTTATTACTAATTAAGACATTATTGAAGTCAATGTCTTCAACACTAGACATTCACAATTTCAAGAAGTAAATTGCTCGCAAATGTTGACCACTAGTGAATAAATTTTGAAAGGACAATCAAAGATCTGCCACCAACACAGAATATCATAATTATGAAAACTTAAATTTAACGACGTGTATCTTGATTTTGGACATTATGCATTTTACAATTAATATTCATTGAACAAAATAAAAAGTATGTTTATTGTTGTTTGTAGCGGTGCTAGAGAAAACGATCAACACGAATCAGGTAAAGAGATGACTTAATCATATTGTTTCCATGAATAAAATAAACAATTTATAAATTTCGTGCGTAAGAAGTGCCCTTCTGGATTTACCGTCATCTGGAACGCTAAAATGTTAACATTTGAAAGCTAGATATGCTTTAATACGCTGGAGAGTTAGGATCTATATAACCAAAAAGGATCTAAACAAAACAGCAAAATGCATATAAGGTCGATTTGGCCTGTAAGAGCTGCAACCTATTTTTATATTAATTTCTTATCTTATGAAAGGTGAATTTTACTTTGTTATATATTATTTGATTCTTAAACTTCTAATTATTTAATTTTTATCCGCACTAGAGACGTCTTTCCTTTCGACGTAACTGATACGTTGCAGTTCGTATCTGGTCTATCTCATAAACATACATGTATAATATAGAAAAAAAAGAAGATGTGATAAGATTGTCAATGGGACAACTGTCTACCAGAGACAAAATGATAATGTATCCTTAATGTTTAGTTACCTTAATTTGAGCTTGTTTCTTGTTAAACGCGACATAATCTACTTGGAATCATGTTATTACTATTTTGTACGTCCGATATTTTCTTTAGATATACAATATATAGTCATATAGTATTGGCATTCAAGAGAAGCAGAATCCTAAGTAAGGCAAAAAAAAAAAAAAAAAAAAAAAAACGACAAAAAGACTATCAACAGTCTACAGAACCTACGTATGAGCATCAGTTATGTCAAAGGTCCGGACGTCTCAATTTAAATTACATTTGGCCCATCAATTGTAAGTTAGTTCACACTTTTGATAGTAATGCTTTTATTGTGTTACTACGGATTTGCATGTTGCATTAAACGTTTAAAAATTCAACTGGAAATAAAAAAAAAATCTAGGTACGTTGCTGTAGAGTACATAATTCATCTCAACTGGAAAACGACATCATACGCATGTGGACTTTTTAAAATCTGGTCGAAGGTTCGAAAGTAGACAAAAACTTGAAGCAATATGACATGAATTACAGGTAAATTGTTCTCTTATTTATTTAAAGCTGGAGAAATTGTAAACAATCTGTATGGGTCTACCAATGATCTAGACGCATCACCATCAACATCTGGTGTCAGAACAGATGTATATTCTTCGATTAACAGACGCGAGCAAATGTTAGACAGAAAAAATGTGACGTACAATATTGCTGGAGAAGGCAAAAGAAGTAAGTAGTAAGGAAGTTTTCCTAGTTTTTGGTTGCCTTTTTTATGTATATATCCTTATTTATTTTGAAAGGAGGAATGTTTTGCATGTCATGAGCTTTACTTGTATGCTGCTTAATTTGACCACCAATTTTACGCTGTAAATCTGAAAATACCATATATGTATAAGTTTAGATCATATACAATAACAATTTCGATCGCTTTACTGTACGTTATTAATTTATTACAGGTCAAGTGGAGCTTACAGATGCAAAACAATGGAAAACGAATATTGTAAGGATATCAGTAAACCTATATATTCATGAGGCAAATTCATAAGAGTTTTGACATGTTTAATCTGGCTACATTAGGTCAACTGGTATAACTCATTTATATATAAAAAAAATAGACCTCGATATTGGCCTTTATAAGAATATTTAGTATCCTTTGTTGGAACTAAGTTATTTACGGAAGACCGTCGATGCATTATCTATCTAATAATGAGTTACCTTTAAAGGTTTTAAAATTATTTAACTTAATGTTAGTTGAATTAGGAATAGTTGTATATATCGTTAAGAAGTTTTTCAAAAATTTGACCTTTTTTGTTGAAGCAGTGTGTCAGAGTTGAACGTACACATGCATGACGGATACTTTTTATTTAATATCATGTCGATGCAGCCGCAAGATGGAATAAGAACGCAAAATTGAGTCGTTATATTTACAAGACTTTGATTGTCACTAGTGGAACAGGATCTGCTTACCCTTTTGGAGCTACTGGGATCACCCCAGTTTTTTTTATGTTTGTATTGCTCAGTCTTCAGTTATCAATGGAGTGTATTGTGTATGTCTTTTTTGTCGTCTTTAATTTTTTGCTATGGCATTGTCAGTTTCTCTCCACTTATGAGTTGTTTTTTTCTACTTGGTATCTTCTGCCTTCTTTTTTGTTCAGTCATTTATGTTTATGTGACGAAAGCCTTTGTCGTTTACTGTTATAAATGTTATATGTATAAAAGCATTCCCGTTAAAATGCAGTTTAGATGAGATGGAGTAGAACATATATAAATATTGAGGAATTGGAAAGCTGGAATCGTTTTGATCAAAATCACTAGTTTGATAGTGGTTCCTCTACATTAGAATTACAAATCAGCTCGAGTGTCGTTTTTTTCTTTTTTTTCGATTTTCTTTTCGTTGTAATCCTTTCGTGTGAAGGTTGCTATCGACGAATGAATAAGTTTTTTATACTGTGTATAACAATGTCGTAATCTTAAATAATTAAAGCATCATTCATCTACACATAAATGTAAATCTTCCTTGGTCTTAGTTTTTTGGGGTTTTACTTATGTGTTAAATTGTAGGGTTAGGTCAACTTATTCAATTTAAAATGTTTATGACGTCACAGTGACTGATTTAATATTATTATCCAACAAATCGAACGAACAATTTGTTGAATGCATGTATAAAGACGGTCAATATTAACACAACTGCCATGCGTTCACAATCAATAACTTTTATTTCAGGCAACATGTTCATCTGAATTGAATTATGTTGAGGTTGAATTTGGTCGTGAACAACCAAAAGGTAAATATTTGATTCATGGAGCAGACAACAGGACACCATATGCAGACATCGACTTTTTAGCAAAAGCAGAGCCACTCATTAGTTCAGATGAGGATGACAAAGGTTCAAATAGCGGGGTAAACAATGACGAGGATTTTGTGTCTCTAGAGGACGTTCAGCAGTGGAACATTACTGCAGACTGATATTTTATTTTGTCTTTTTATTTTTTATCTATTTTGTTGCTATCTTAAGTATTTCATAAGTTTGTATTACTAAATAGATTGTTATGGAGTGGGAAGTAAAAAGCAACTTTTGAAATGTCAAATGTATCCGCCCCATATGAGAAACTCTCACAGTGGTTGATTTTGAACAGCTAGTAAATCGCATATATTTTTTTGAGGATATGTTGTTTATTGATAGGTCTCCGATAGCCGCTGTTATATTACTAACATTTTTTTTTTGTATCTCGGGGCGATTCAAAGCTTGGCATATTGTAAAGACACTGGCACGTTGGCATCTAGATATCTTAATATTTTTTTTTTGTCGTTGGGTTGCTCTCCACTCAATTATGGGTTTTACTGACAGATAGGAGAAAACCAAGCTATCCATATCTTTATAACCCAGTCAATCCTTGGTTTTTAATGGTTATTTTACTCAAGGGATCATATAAAGAAGCCTGAACATACCTTATCTTTTAAAATAATTAATACGGATTATTGGTAATGCCTGCCGTCAAAAACGGTAAGAAAAGCTTAAATTTGTTTAACCAAAAATAACGGGTTATAACTATTGATTTTTTTTAATTGAACATGATGCATCTAAAAAAAGATGGTGTTTTTAATAAACTTAGCCTTCGGGTTACGGGATATTGCTCAAATGATTCAGTGGGATTGGTTCCCTTGAAGAAAGGTACTTAATATCGATAGTTCCTGGTGATGTTGTCTTGAAAAACAGTTGATTTGAACATCATTTTAGCTCACCTGGCCAAAAGGGCCAAGTGAGCTTTTCTCATCACTTGGCGTCCGTCGTCCGTCGTCGTCGTCGTCGTCGTCGTCCGTCGTCGTTAACATTTACAAAAATCTTCTCCTCTGAAACTACTGGGCCAAATTAAACCAAACTTGCCCACAATCATCATTGGGGTATATAGTTTAAAAAATGTGTCCGGTGACCCAGCCAACCAACCAAGATGGCCGCCATGGCTAAAAATAGAACATAGGGGTAAAATGTAGATTTTGGCTTATATCTCTGAAACCAAAGCATTTACAGCAAATCTGACTGGGTAAAATTGTTTATCAGGTCAAGATCTATCTGCCCAGAAATTTTCAGATGAATCTGACAACCTGTTGTTGGGTTGCTGCCCCTGAATTGGTAATTTTAAGGAAATTTTGCCGTTTTTGGTTATTATCTTGAATATTATTATAGATAGAGATAAACTGTAAACAGCAATAATGTTCAGCAAAGTAAGATCTACAAATAAGTCAACTTGACCAAAATAGTCAGTTGACCCCTTAAGGAGTTATTGCCCTTTATAGTCAATTTTTAACCATTTTCGTAAATTTTTGTAATCTTTTACAAAAATCTTCTCCTCTGAAACTACTAAGACAAATTTAACCAAACTTGTCCACAATCATCATTAGGGTATCTAGTTTAAAAAAATGTGTCCGATGACCCCGCCCGCGAACCAAGATGGCCGACATGGCTAAAAAATAGTACATAGGGTAAAATGCAGTTTTTGACTCATATCTCTGAAACCAAAGCATTTAGAGCAAATCTGACGGAATAAAATTGTTTATTAGGTCAAGATCTATCTGCCCTGAAATTTTTAGACCAATCAGGCAACACGTTGTTGGGTTGCTGCCCCTGAATTGGTAATTTTAAGAAAATTTTGCAGCTTTTGGTTATTATCTTGAATATTATTATAGATAGAGATAAACTGTAAACAGCAATAATGTACAGCAAAGTAAGATCTACAAATAAGTCAAATGACAAAATTGTCAATTGACCCCTTAAGGAGTTATTGCCCTTTATAGTCAATTTTTTACAATTTTCATAAATTTTGTAAAGTTTTTAAGAATGTTTAGTAAAGTAAGATCTACAAACACATCACCATCACCAAAACACAATTTTTTCATGAATCCATCTGTGTCCTTTGTTTAATATGCACATAGACCAAGGTGAGCGACACAGGCTCTTTAGAGCCTCTAGTTTTTATACTTGACAGGTTAGCGGTACTGACTGCATACAGTTTGTAAATATTGTCTAATTATCATGGCTTCTGCCCATGGAGTATATCAGACCAGATTATAATTATCGATGTTACCCTAAAGATAGTGTATATAGTATCAGCAAATTTTATTTCAAGTTGTCTAATTTTTTTTTTATTACATACTGCAATAGTTTTATATTTGTAACTAAATTGTAAGAAACTCATTGTTTAACCATTGTCCAATTTCATCTGATTAATAAACCTTTTATGTAAAAAAGAACTAAATTTAGAGTTGTATATCAAATAAACCTGTGCAAATTATTAAATTACATATTCGAAAGCTTATTAGGGATTTATGCATGTCCTTACATTTCCCTTGAAAATTATTAAGAAACTAGGAAATTTCAACCCCCTCGGGCTAGCTTGAGACCTGGGATAAATTCGGTTTTGTTAGGTTCGTTTTGGTCATATGGCCCCTAACATATTAAGGTATTTATAGGCTCTTGGCTTTTAAATGTTTTGAATTTAACGTTTCTGATGATCCAGATAAGCGCTTCTGGGTAGTTCTTTTTTTTTTATTTATTAATGTCACATGAAACAATTATCACGATTGTGATTTAAAATATCTATTTTAAAAAATCATGACCATGCATTCTCATTTAACAATAAACAATCGTGGGATTGAATTCTTAGAGAGAGATTAATTATAAGGAATTGATTATTTTTTTAATCTCAAGTATATGAAACAATTTAGATAATTCAATGAGAGAAATGCGAATTATCTAAAACAGATTTTCATTTGCATGCTGCAACTGAGTTAAAACATTTGTATATAAAGTTAAAACTTTACAAAAAAGTCAGATAACTACAAAACAGAAGTGTTACCAATACTTCCCCTAGTTGCCCAAATATGCCCAAAAAAATTTGGGGTATCCTCTTAAAAATGATTTGAGCGTGCAGTTTAACATTTCTGTTTTTTTTTTTGTCAAATCATACTTAAAAAGATGTAATCAACTTTATATAGCTGTTATATATTATTATTGCTAAATTGTTGTTTATGATATTTGTTAGTTGTGTATTGTTGTGTAAAGTGTGTTCTGGTGCTTTGCTGTTGTACCACTGCCCAAGGTAGTGGCAGGTTAGGCGGCTGCTAACATGTTTAACCCCGTCACATTAAACGTGTGCTTGTCCCAAGTCAGGATCCTATAATTCAGTTATTGTCGAAAGTTGCTGTATATCATATTTAGTTTTTGTTTATTGTTAGTTTCCTCGTTTGAAATGGGTGTTATTTGTCATTTTGGGACCTCGTATAGCTTGCTGTGCGGTATGGGTTTTGCTCATTGATTAAGGCCGTTCGGTGACTCATTATAGTTGCATACTTCTACGTCATTTGGTCTTTGGTGGACAGTTGTTTCATTGTCAATCATTGCACATTTTTGTTTTTATATTGATTTGTTAAATATTCTTGAAGACTTGTTTTTAACAAGACCGGTTTCCATCTCTTACAAATAAAGGTTATGTTCACGAAAAGGAAACTGTTCACTCTGAATGTAGCGTTTAAATAAAACGATAGATAGAGGCTATTTTGGAAATATAGCTTTCTTTGCGCATAATCATTCCTTTTTTAACAAGATTTTGTTGAAAAACATATACGTAAAATAAATTAATAAACGCCGCAGGAAAAAATTGGCAATTCGATTGGCAACAAAATACACGATTAAGAGAAAAAGATACAAGGGCGTATGAAAAGCAACTAATTACCAGACCTATCCTTGCAAGAGAAAACCGATGGGTGCAACACGCGGAGCGGAAACTTCTTACCGGAGCACCCGAGTCATCTAGGGGTTCTTGTTGCTCGATCTGTCTTAAGTTTTCTATGTGATGTTTTGTAATTATTGTTATTTTTCCTTTCGTCGATTTTAGGCGCCCGCTGGTATTGTCTGTTTTTATTTGACCTATGGTTTTTGTAACTTTTGTAACTTTTTTCGATTCGCTTTATTTATGGTGATTATTTTTTTTTGTGTGATTCCAAACCTTTAGAATAACTTCAGGACTTAACTGTTATATAAAAAAAAAACACTTAAATAGTTTCTGGTATTTGAACACCGCTTAACTGAACGTAAATATCTTTTAAATTTGAGATGGCAAGAGTATGGAAATATGATTTATTTTTTTATTTATTTAGGAATTATATAAATTCCTTGTGTGGAGAACTAAAATGTAATTGCAGCTCGTGTCGTGTTCTTTCAGTGCTGCAATATGCCTATTTTTTCCTTTTTCTTTTTTTGGCCTTTCGCTTTACATATTTGTATATTTTACATTATATATAGCTGTTTTTTTAAATGGCAGAACTTAACAATTTTACTGCATATTTGATATAGTGTTGGTTCACTCAGTCGTCGCACATTGAGGTGCTGCTTGTTAAAAGTGCGCACCAGAGCTTATGTTATTATTGTTATTGTGTACCTATATGCTGACTTTATAATTAAAATATACTTATTACTTATATACTTACTTGCTAACTCTCATGACTACTCCGACATGCATATGACTAATAAAAGGCTTAAATAATTTATCGAGACACCAAAACTTTGGGTAATTTCGTACTATTTACAGAATCATTATAAATTAGCAACCTGACCCCAAGCCAGATAAATTACCAGTCGAAAACATTCCGAAAATAGATAAAAGAAATAAAGGTTGTATAGAATAAAATAAAAACAATTTAGAAACGGGGTATGATTGCCAATGAGTTAACTATGGACCCATAGGTAGGCTTATGTTGCACCCTTCCCCCTAGGATCCATGTTTACAAAGTGTTTTGAGGTAGTATATATATATATATATAAATACAGCACAAACAACATTTTCCAAAAGACCAAAAAAGTGAAAAAGTATATTTTAACAAAACGCATTTGACTAACAGGTCGAACAACAAATGTTCTTAAATCCTGCTGACTGCCATTGGCGATTGCCAAATAAACGGATCACAAGGTGTTATAAATGGATCTTAACTATAAATTGTATACCAAACAGAAAACAGTAAACTTGCGGCGAAGATGGTATACCGCAAACAAAGGTGCAAAGATTTTTTGTACACCATATCCGGATTTCGACAATTAATGTCTCTTCAGTGATGTTAGGAATCGAAATGGTTATTGGAAGGCCACATAATTTACCTCAATTTAGGATAGACTCTTGAATTTTGAGGAGTCAAAATAGGATGAACGGATCATATAAACCCGAAGGCAAATATAATACAAGCCCAAACGAAAAAATATAAACAAGTCTAAATTGAAAACAACGTTCAAACCTATGATTGCGTTGGATAAAAACCGCAATTTTTATACGTGTGCATGCAAAACAAATTTCTTGTTAGAGGGGTCTAAATACAGGAAAATGTTGTTTGTGCTGTATTTAGACCCCTCTAACAAGAAATTTGTTTTGCATGCACACGTATAACAA